CTCAGAAAAGAGCTTCGCTTACGTTTTCGTAGTACCAAGTTTCTGTAATCGCATATTACAGAATATTGCCAAATAATACGAAATTTAATGCACTGATGAATCATAATGGTGCATAAATATTAAGAGTAAATACAACGTCAATATTCTTCGCGCCCGTTGAAATTCAATTTCGAAAGCGTACGAAAGGTCAATTAGAATTGGACGAAAAAAAATTTTACGCACCTTTCATAAATCTTGGTCGACAGCTCCGAAAATTCGAATATCAATCAACCTTGGATGTGAAGGAAATTACTCTGCCCTAATAGTAATCCGCCCCCCTACGTAACTCAATCGAACTTTCAAATTCCACCGTTCGCCAAGGCACGATTCTCGACGACGATAAAAAAAACATCTCACGATTCGACCGGATATAGGATTTTCTCTAAGTGGCAGATTTGCACCGATACAAATATCGCGTCAGGCAAATGAAAAATATGATTTTTCGCATCTCTTCTCAAAGTCAAATAATTCTTTGGTATCGTTAATGTTTTGTCCATCGTCCGATTAACCATCTACAAAGTTTCCTGTGAAATCCTGTACACAACGGAGAAGGGTTTCAAACGAAATCAGATCTGATACTCTTTCCATCTTCCGTCTAGAAGAATATTTCGATATAACATTCCAGAACAGAAAACGTTCAAAAATTCCTACCGATCCAACACACTCTTTAAAAAGTCTGATTTCACCCGATGCCCATTCAAGCAAGGAAGAACCGATCATCGACAGGCTTCCCACCGCGACGCTTCGCAACGTCCTCGAATCTTTAAAGCAACACGGTTTGTTTCGAGGCCGGTGGCGAAAAGGCGCGCGAGTAAAAGAGCAAGCGAGTAAATGGTCGGGTAACTTTCTCGCGAATCCTTCGCGGCGAGGACTCGCGGTCAGCGGAACTGGTGCTGCAAGGCGAATGGAAACACGGTGGTGGGGTTCGCCGGCGCTACCGGCGGGCGCAGAAGGCGCGAAAACGTCCTGCCGCGATTAGGCTGGCAGCCTGCGACAGGAGGTGGCACAGGACTAAGCTAGATGGCGGCGCCGATCGCCGTGCGCAACGACGAAGAGGAACACACCGCCAAGAAGAGGGGACGAAAGAGACGGAGAGACGCGGTGTGCCGGCCGGTGTGAGCATAGTCGGCGACGTGGTCCTTGAACGAGCGCGAGACAGAGACGAACAGGAGCGAGGGAGCAAAGGAGAGAGAAAGAGCGTTGGACGAAAGATAAATCGAGATCCTTGATTCGTAGGGCAGAAGGTCCTCGCGAGAGGTGATCGTGCACCGAGAGGGGAAGAAATCCGTACTGCGATTTGTAATTGCATTGTACGCCGGACATTGATTGGGCTTCGCGATGATTTACTCCTTTGTGCTGGAACGTGCGCCCCAGGTTTGCTCCGTGCGAGCAGCAAACGTTCGATTAAAACAGCCCCTTTCCCCATAAACGATCCGAGTCTCCACAGCGATATTTTTTTACGTATTTCTATACGCCTTTTTATATTTTGTATATTTCCGATCGTACTCTCACGAGTTTTCATTCTTCTACTTCACTAAAAGTACGTTTGAACGTAACGAAGGCGAATGATCAAAATTTAGTCGAATCGGAATTTCCCTCACGACGAGCGGACTTGCGAAAATCATACGTTAACCTCTACACGATGATTTCAAAATTGATAGAAAGCAAAGTTGATCAGTTTGACTCTCGAGAGGCTGAGACAACTACTTTCACCAAGTCCGCCTTTCCAACTCCGTCGTTCGAGATCTGATGATGCGGAAACAGTTGGCCGCACGGTAGGCTTTTCGGCCGAGCCTTCTTAACAGACTATCTGAAGGCAACGTAATGCGTTAGATTAATTAACGTAATCGTAATGAGACGATCTCATCTGGACGCACACAATGTAGGCTGCCCGATATCGCAAGTGTCTTGATGTCGTCCGTGCGTGCACACCTCTACCTGCAATACGTGCACGCGAGCGAGCGCGTGCGCGCACACACACACACACACGCATACAGGTCAGCCGTGTATTACTGACAAGATAGGTCGAACAATAGCTTCCATTACGGCTAGAGACTGGCTGAGTTAATGGGCAAATTGTCTGCTAAGTCATTTAAAGGGCTAAACCCGGTGCAGGCGCAGACCTCGCTCTAGTCTCTTCACGCGGTTTGCTGACAATCGATGCAATTAGATCGATGCTGCGCCCGCCAATGTCCACCGATAAGCTGGCGAAATTTTCGACCGGAATACGCGGAAAGTTCCATTGTTAATTGCCATCACTGGCTCGCTCCAGTTGATGGGTCAAAACTCGATCGACTCGGCGGGCGAAAGTTTCCTCGCAGTTCGAACAATTAGAAGATCGAGATACTGATCTTCGCGACAGTAGTACTGTTACTACTAGTTCGGACGTATGTGTTTCGTCCCGAGGGAATTCTTTGATTTCGACGTACTGACTGGATTTAGCGCCATGTGCAACGCGAATAAATTTAACTGGATAAATTTGAAAGTAGAAGCGACGCAAAGTACGCGAAATAATCAAAGTAAGGCACGAGTATATATGCATGGTCAATTTGATGAATTTTCGTGGCACTGATTACGTTTGTTTCTCATGTCGGACAGTGAACACGCAGTTCTTCGTTTCCCGTGCTATATCTAAATCATGTTACAACGACAAATAGATACCGATGTAAGTTTTTCCATCTGCTCGCCTTTAACGCAAACTCGACGAATATCGTATCTATCGGTTTACGTGAAAGCAGTACGTGAAAATAACGCAAAAAAAAAGACGTAAAGGAAACACGTAAACAACGAGCAGCGAGAATGTGCAAATCCCGGGCACTTGAGCCTGGCGCGACAAATAAAGACCTACCCCACGCACGTACCCTCGGCAAAGCAAGTTCAAGGACCGTCATCGGACGCAAACAACAGCGGCGAGGGTAGCGGCAGGCTTGTGAAATGCGTCAAGGCAACAATATGCTACAAGGGTACTCACTCTGGCTGGCAGGATGTTTTTCCTAGCTGAACCACACCGGTTCCGAGTGATCCTCTCCGCTTATCTCTCCGATTCACGGCAACACGGTCGTGCTGGTGGTTCCTTCTCGGGCCGGTTGCAGGATGCACCACCGCGATCGATCGCGACACGACCACGTGGCGATCACGAGAGCGATCCCCACGGAGGGGGGGGGGGAGAAACAAAGGGGCGATCAAAGCTAGGAGTAAACAGGAAACGATCGTGCCCGAGGCTCTTTAACCGGAAATTCGTTAATCGGGATGAGCCAAGAAGCTTTCACCTGTCTGTTTGTCTGCAGAATTTATTCCGAGCGTCTATGCCGAAAGCTATAGCGGTTGTCAACTTTGTCACGAGAGCATTGTGTTCGTTTGGATCGATGGGCAACATTTACAGCGGCCAGATAGGCCGCCAAAGTCTGTTTAATCAGCGAGCGACGAATCGCGAGTAGACGAAGCGATACGAAGCGATGATATACCGAGGAACACGTGACACCGCGACGCTCGCTCGCGGTTGACTGAAACGCGACGAGGGAAGAAACGCCGGGAGCGTGCGCTCCCGAAGTTCTCCACCGGCGGTTGAGAAACGCGTCCCAGTCACAAATTCACGGGGGAAATTCGTGAGAGTCTTTCGACCTCAAGAGATCGTGATTGTGAGTGAGGGACGTGATATCGCTTCGCAGCGGAGAAGAACGTCGATGCTCGCCTGCTCGTGGCGGGCTTTTTTCGAGCAGAGACGGACAACCGCACGGTCTGGGCGCCGCGGAGCGACTGCGAAACACCGCTTAACGAAGCCTCCGTGCCATCTAGCGGAACCCGCCGGAAAATGCAACCCTTCTACCCGCGCGAGCTGGAGGGGACAACCATAGAGGGGAAGACGATCCATTTCTCTCTCTCTCTTTCTGTGTGTGTGTGTGTGTGTGTGTGTGTGTGTGTGTGTATGTGTTACTTGGGGGGATATTTCTGAATGCTGGTGCCATTGTATCCCCCAAAATGCTACTGGTGAAACTTTCATGCAATGAGGAACATCGGAGATCGGAACCGCAGAGTCTGGCGTCTCGGCTTAATGCTCTTGCCAAAGATCGGGCATCGGTCGCTAATTGCCGAACGATCGAGGACAAGTTCTAGCGAACCGTGACGAGGAAAGAGATCGGAGGTGCATGGTGAATAGGAGAATCGATCGGTGACGATGTAGAAATAATTGGGAAGAGCGCTCGAATGCACAGGTGTCTCTGAAATCATGATGATAATCGAGTCCAGAAATTAAAATAAATCGAGCAACTTGACATTATTTATGTCACCTGTTCATTCACGAGAACGAGTTCACGTTGCTTTCTGAAATATTCTTTCACAGAATATGGAACTGGTCTGTCTGCTTGTTAAGGTCAGAACGATGTACAGTTGCAAAGATAAAATATTGCCCGCAGCTGTTTCGTATGAAAGGAAAAAATTCTCGTCTCGGCAGAAGCACGTTTAATCGAACTTCATCTCCTATCAAATGAAGAAGAGATGAAATTTTACTCTACTACCCTAAATATCGCAGCTTATGTTGCATTTGGTAAATATGACATCTTTTTCCGAAAAGAGAGTTTTTATTTCAAACAGGTCATGTAACCTTCTGTCCCTCGAAGCAAAGAAATCATTTTACTCTTTTCCTTACATTTCACAAAATATTTGAGATACTTTCTTTTTTTGGATTACTAATACGAAAAGTAATTTGGAGCCATGCAGATCCGAGGAGAAAAACAACAGAATTAAATTTCCTATTTTCCTTACAATCGCCTACCATCGAAATAAATTACATGAATCCTAATGGTCACGATAAATTCGTATATTCCGACGCCGATTCGTCAACAAGTGGTCGATATTCATTGCGATCGTCAAATATTCCTTTCCAAATACGTATCCACCATACAATCATAGCCTAAAAGGGAAAATCGTGGAAGTTTGAAAGGAGCACGACGTTCGAAAGCCGCCTAGACGGTGCAAGTAGATTCAGCCAGCGCGGTCCAGACAGCACTGGCGGTCGAAACCTCGTGGCCCCTGGTTCTCGGATCCCGTGCCCCACCAGCCTTGGCTGCGAAAAGCGTTCGCGGAAGCGCGGAAAAGCCGCAGGTGCGGAAGGCGGGGCGTGTAGCGCAAGCGCAGGTGCAAACCACACCTCCGCAAGCTCGGCCAGGGAGGAGCAAGACGCAAGAGAATCCAGAGAGAGGCTCGTGATTGGCGACTTTGTTCACCTGCTTGGTCCCGGTGTCCTTGCCGTTCTTCACCCCGTTCCTCTCGTCCATCCCTCTCTCTGCTGGCCAGAAAAACTTCCTCCCTCCTCCTTCCTTCCCTCCCCCTCGCGGCGAGAACGGAATCTATTAATACACCTGCATGATGTTAGTAACCACCTTGCACCCCTGCCGCACCACCCATCTTCGTTTTCTGACCGGTCGTATCGGTTGACCGCTGCTGGTAAGTCGTGTACACGTCTTCCGCGTACACTTGAGAAAGAGACGATTCGGATTCGCGTAGATGCGTTAGTTCGCATTGATAATTCGGGGATAATCGGACAGACAGCGAAGTAAACGGAATTTTTTTCCAAGATTCATTCAGGAAAATTAAGAACTTTCATTCTGTTTTTATTCTACGAAGAACGACTGCTACGAATGAAATTGCTACTTTATATTACAATGGGAAGAGCCAGAAGTAGGAGCGTTCGATTTATATTAAATATGCACAATCGAATATCCTAATTGAAAGTATGATTGCTCGACGTGCCACGTTCGTAACATTCGCAGACGAGAAATCGCACGTCCGACTAGAGACACATCTGAACTCGTACGTCTGACGCTAACGAGATATTCTACTTTGACGCGCAACAGTCGTTTTCTAATTGAAAATCGTTTAAAGGTACGCTTCTTCGGTGTATTGTAATGCCAACACCTGACTGCGTGTAACGCCTCGTCTAACTAGAAACGTCTGAACTCGTACGTCTGACGCTAACGGGATATTCTACTTTGACGCGCAACAGCCGTGCCTCGATCATCTTGGTAACACACCTTGAAGATCCGCGAAGAACAAGAACAAGAGATTACTATTAACGAATCGAAGAAACGTCCAAATTTATGCGTAACGTGTTGTATTCTGTTCGTACGTAGCGCGATTGTTTGTCGAAACTTGATTAGATCTGCGTGCACGGTGAATCTCTCAGAGAAACGAGAGAAAAATTATTATAAAGTAAAGGGAACGTATTTCAGAGCGGGAGAAGTATAAATCTAGATTTATCCTAAACGTTGATTTATGATACGTTCATCGGGCAAGCGACGAGTAAACCCAGTCAGAGAGCGTAGCCAGTTCTTGCTTTCCGCGGCAGATTCGATGATGCTCTGTCGAGGAAGGACAGCCGCGATGCTCTGTACGAGAGTTGGCAGCAGGAGGAATTAATTACCCAGGAAGCCAAACGGGACACTTTGATGTCCGACTGGCTTCCGGCGAGCCACGTAAGGGGCCAAGGTAACCGACTTTGCTCGTTTGAGCTCAAGTCGCAACCCAACGACCTACGGCAGTGGATAACCTATGTGACAGACGGACGGCTGCCGTGGCTGCTTCAAAAGCGCACGCAACATCGAATAACATTGCTATTAACTTCTGCCCTGTCGCTGATCTGTCGCCGCGACGTTATAAGGATCAACCACGGTGCGCAGGGGAGGAAAATATCGACGACGTTCTCTACGGTCTCACGAATTTGCGGGCCTCTGAATATTTTCGTTCGTCCCCCTCGCTCGAAAATTGACACGTAGCAAAGTGAAATGTAGATCCAAATGAAGAGTTACACGAGTGAAACTCGTTGGCGATGCGCTTCGCCGACATTCCGTCGAATAAAGTAATCCTGTGACATTTTGTTTTGCGAGAAATCCGTCGTGTGTATGTGTGTATGTGTGTGTGTGTGTGTGTGTGAGAGAGAGAGAGAGAGAACGCGAAAGCGTGTATACATCACGAGGGAAGAGCGCGAAATAACAAGAAAAATACTGTAATATATTAACTAAGAGAATGGATTTGCAGCGCGCTAGGCAGTGCCGAACAATGCAGCCCTGCGAGCCTTAAAAAGAGCAAAGGTTAGGCCGCAACCGTGCCACATAAATTATTTAAAACGTCAGAGTGTCACGCGTTCGCTGCTCAGTGCAGATCCTGCTTCGAAAAACATCGTCATTCACCCGGGATAACAATAACAAAATCCGCGAAAATAATCCAGGAGAATGTACGATTTTAATCTATCGCGCTCGAAACGCGATCTGTGTCTCTTATCCCATATTGATTGTTCGCGGAACAACCGAAGGATGGAGAGGACACTTGAAAAGCACAAAACGGGAACGAGGCCAGGCTGGATCGACTGGAGGCGGGACACGGTTAAGTCGGCGAGGCGCTAAGGGAAAGAACAATGGCTTATATAATGAGGCCGAGTGGCGTGGCGCAAAATAACACGTGGAAAACTCTCCGGCGGAAATCCGGCTTTCCTCCGGGGGACGAAATAATTACCTCGTGCAAATATTCGTAGGCACTCACGCGCCCTATCCGCTCTTCAACCGCCTCCTCCACCTCCCCGGGGTGGGCTCTATCCCTTCATGGAAGGTTTGGTCAAGATTTACATAAGAATAACCTGGAACAACAATCCCTCGAACAATTACCTCCGTATTTAGCCGGCCATCGTCCCTCTCCAGCATCCGCCGCGACCGTATTATTCTAATAAGCCGTGGCCGTCCTGTCCTATAACAATGACATCCGTTCCGCCCGGGGATTTTACGTAGGACCGAAGTTATTCCTTTCATTTTTGAATCGCCCAACGGGTCAACGATATTCGGCCCCTTCTTCCGTTCCGCGGCAAGCCGCGCTGGCCGCCCCGAGTTCCGAGCATGGAGCTCGCGCGCCATTTAATTAATACGCCACGGCCATTATTTTTGAACGGAGACGCTCCTATTGTTCGATGTACACGCGTACATCGCTTCTTGCTTCGAATTTTCATTCGCCACGCTCGATCCCAGAGAAACAGCGAGAAACGTTAACAGCCCTCTGCCACGACGAGGAACTCGAGATCCCGTGCTAAAAAAGAGTTTGTCACGCGCGTCACTGGCTGCTCCGTCTGACTGGTGACGGTGAGAATCTACTGTGACATCGGTAGACTTTCTCTTCGCTAAAAGTTTCACGCCGAGGCTTCTACGATACTGTTGAAACTATTCAATTGTTTGTTGGCATGCTATATTTTTATAGCGACGTCGGTGTAGCATTCTACCGCGAGATTTGCCGAGAATTCTTACAAAACTTTGTTTCATCGTACTTTTTAATAAAACGCTTATTTTTCGCGAATTTCAATTTGTTAACTTTCGATTTGATTTCACTGTCGAGGAAAGAATTCGAAAAACGAGGAACTCTGGTCGGAAAGAAAAGAGGAGTAAGAGAAGAGAGGAATTTTGTATTAGAACACGCGAATTCGAAAACGAGCGATAAGATATCGAAGTGAGACGATTCTTCGAAGTGTCCGGCAGACGATGGAACTAGAACCACCAATTCGTTCGGCTTTCACCGGCTGACGCGATCTGATAAAGGAGAGAGACAGAGAATGTGCGTGTGTACGTGTGAGCGAGAGAGTGAGAGAGAAGATTCGAGAGGCTAAGATTCGAAGTCAAAGAGCGATCTCGAGGGCTTCAGCCTAAGTAAGATCAAATCGAGCCCAGCATCCCACAGACGCGGGAGGGAACGATATCGATTCTCCCGAAGCGAACAACCTGAACGAGGCCTCCACGAGCACGCTCAATTTACGAGCGATTCGACGATAACGAGGAGACGAATGGGGAAGACAACGAGATAACATGAGATGCATGAGAACCGTTCTGGTACCCAAGGAGACTTCGTTAACGAGATTACTACAAGCCCGACGGGTTTACTACGGCGAGGGATCGTCGCTTTGTAAAACTCTACCACCTGTAGTCGTGTCGCGTGTCGCGTGTAATCGCGTACCGTGCGATTCCGATTTCCTCCGTAAACTCCAATGATCATTCCCCCTCCTGTCCCTCGTGGCGAAAAGTTAAACGCTTTCGAATAAACTTTACGCCAAGGCTGAGATCGTTTTACGGAAAAACAACTTAATTACGGGGAGGGAAAAAATGGCACTCGAGAGATACTCGAGACTTGAGAATTCGTCGCGTTACAATTGTTTCTGGTACGTAGCTAGTTTGCTTGAAGCGACGATGCGAGTAAAAAATTTTTTCTTTAGTTCGACGCGATATAAAACGCATATAAAGTATAAAGTTACCGATGATTTCCAGATGGAAATCTTTTATTCTTCGCGTACAAATTATAGAAAAATATGGTACGATATTGGAGAACTATTACGTTACAATTGTTTCTGGTATGTAAAGTGTATATTCACGCGTGTAAATTATAAAGATATAAATGACTTCCAGGTTGGACTTTCATTCATCGCGAGCGAATATTCGATTCCTCCCCAATCGCGAATCGAAACGATAAACGTATAGAAGATTCACGACTGATTAAGTATTCCCATTTGAATAAACGGTCCTGGCTTTTCCATCGAAACGTTAAGCTCTCGGCATTGTTCGTAATTTTTCCCGCGCCACTAGCCTACTTGCGCTGGGTAAGTGGCTGATAGTTTCGCGAAACAAAACGGATAAAGGGTGCTCTTCCGCCTTCCGTCTACCACGCGGTTTTCAGCTTATGAATTGCAAGGGACAAAATGTTCATCCGCTGTACGATCATCGGCCGGAAGTGAAACAGCGGCAACTCGGAAGCGGCTGAATGACGCAGAATAAAGTCGAGTTCGAAAAGAACCTTCCCCCTTCGTTCCCTTCGTCCTCGTCTCTCTTTCCTTCTCCCCTCCCCTCTCTTTTTTTTCTTTCTTTCTTTCCTTTTTTTTTTCACTTTGAGCGGCATAGAACGAGGTCGATAAAAAGCCGTAGGAAAATACAAGTTCTCGAGCCTCCTTCTCTTTCTTTTTTTCTTTCTCTCCCTCCCTCTCCTTCTCTCGTCTCGTTTTGTTTCTCCCCGTCCAAAGACGCGAATTACCACGGATTTTGCTGAACGACCGTTTTCAGCCGCTCGTTTCTCTTTTTTTTCCCCTCTATTTCCTGTTTTTCTTTTTTGCTTTTTTTTTTGCTTTCTTCCTCCCTATTTCTCTTTTCCTTTCTTCCTCCGCCTACAGCGGTTAATTTTCGAAACGAGGGTACTTTTCAGGAAATATAACTTGCTTATTGTTTGTCCGTTCGCGATTCAATTGCCGTCGAACAATCGCGCGGCCGCAATTACGCGCGGGATTAACGCAGAGTATTCTAGCTCTCTAAAGCCCCGTCGAGATCGGTAAGGATCGGAAAAGCGCGTTCACCGAACCCCGGCTTTTTTTAATCTTCGAAATTGCGCCCGTTTCGCCTCTACCCCCGAAATTGAAACGAATCCTTCGCGTCCTTTTTCCCCCCCCCTTTTTTCCTTCCGTTGTCTCTCGAAATTCGGAAAACTTTGACAAGATTGTGTCGTTTAAGTGCTCCCTACCGCGAAGGATTCTATGCTGTTTCAAGAAACGAGAATTTACACATAAAAAGAGAAAAAGGAAACAGAATTAATCGTGATATTTCACTTCTTTTCTCGTTTATGTCTCGTATGGCTGCAGTTAACCGATCTCTGTCTCTTTAAGCGAAAATGAAACGAATGGTCGAAATATACGTAACTGGGAGATCTCGCTGCGAACCGGTTGTTCCCTTCGGTTGTTCGAAACTTTTGCTAAACGCGGGGAAAATTCCCGAGCGACGGTCGCCCGTGGAACGTGTGCTCGATATTTCAGGAAGACGCGGTCCCGCCGGGACCTCGTATATTTCATGCGAAAGATCTTACCGCGCGCCGAGTTCCGGCTTCGTGCGATCTTCTTTGCCTTCCTTCCGGTACGGACTACGTCAGACTACGTCGTGTAAGCACGAGACCACGGATCGACCGTGTGTGCCTTTCCAATCACTTTGCAACCGGCTTACGTACGATCATTAATTCAAACGACCCCGACGATACTCCCGGCCTTTGTCGCTCGCTTGTTACATCTATTGGTTCAATTATCCCTTCGGAGCTCCACGGAAAATTTCGCGAGCGACTCGCGAATAACACGCCACCGGAGCGTAATTCCACGCGTATATAATTTCTCTCGTAATACCGGGACAATGAACGGAATTCCAAAACGAGATTCAATCGACGTAACCGCGAACGAGATCGTCGAGACGAATCGACAAGAACGGCGAGAAGAACAACGACGACGCTACAGCATCGACGTACCTCTTCTCCACCTCAGGTAAACGAGAAAAAGAAACGAAAGAAAGAGAGATGGCGAGTGTGTACGGACGGGAGGACAACTCGGAGAGATAAAATCGTCGAGCGAGGAAGCCGTAGCCGAGCGCGAATTTAACAATAAACCTTCGTTGAAGAGGAGAAGAGAGAGAGAGAGAGATAGAGAGAGAGAGAGCGAGCGAGGGAGAGATGGGGGGAAAAAAGGCCGGAGGCGAGTTTTCACATTTAATTCGCGCTCGTCGGAGTGAAGAGGGGGCGGAGGCCGGCTCAGGGATTAACGTCGCGAAATATCACGAAAATATGTAAATATATCGAGAGACATAGGCAGCCGAGCGGTCGCCAGCGCGCTACGGTTGAAGTGGGACGAACTTTCGAGAGGGGAACGAGAGAGAACGAGGATAAAGCGGCGGGGGGAGGGAGAGATAGGAGACAGAGAGTGAAAGAGAGCGAGAGATTTCCAGAGCCGGTAGAAGGCCCATTGAAAGATTAAAAAACTCGCTCGCGTGCTCCGTGCCGAATCTATACTCGCGGATCTTGCTCTCCCTCCCTCCCCCGCCTCCTTGTCCCGCACTCTCTAGCGAGCGCACAAGTGCGTCCGTAAGCGGGACGATCCCGTAGGAACAACGTGAACGTGAACGGAGGTGGAAGAAGGAAGATAGATAGAGAGAGAGAGAGAG